ATCCGTAAATATGATTGTATTTTATTTTGTATAAAATCGATCCCTTTTTTGCAGTTTGTTATATTGAGTTATTTCACATTACAATTCCGTATAATTTCTAATAATCAGAAATAATCATTAGAAGACGAGAAGTGATTTTAAATTTTACAAAAGTTTCTTCTCGTGAAAATCCTCCGAAGAAAATCTTACGCGAAACAATCCTTTACATATCCAACTGAATAAAAAGTTCGACACGTGTAAGAATTATTGTATGTCATAATGGTTTTCTTGAACGCTATTTTAATCTGAATTTCATGCTTATCTGTTATAGAATCAACGTAGCGACGTGGCAGATACAACTCCGCTGTTGCGCATCGGTCGGTGAGTGCGAATTTTTGTAACTGAGGTAACGAATCTACATTTTTGTAGATGGTAGAGATAAATTAGTACATTTCGTAGATTCGTTACTTTAAATGGATAGGTTACAAGTAATTTTATATTTCGTTTAATATATTTAATTGTTTAATATATTTAATTTATTATTCAATTTATTATTCAAAGTGGGGGGTTGGGTGTCCCATTGCAGAGTTAATCTTTGGTTTTTTTAGAATTATTTGTTGATGCATTCGTTGATCTAATTTTTTGTAACCTTTCCATCTATTTGTGATATTTTGTACATTTTACTTGATACACTTTCAAGATGCGTATTGCATGGACGACATAGTCACACGCATCTTCGCGGTCGGTTTTCGCGATCGGTTTCGCATCGAGAGAGAGTTTCCTTATTCATTTTTTAAATTTTATCCACATCTCATTATTAATTCCAAGTTTTCACGGGATATTACTGAAATCGGTACACATACTCGTATAACGCGAAATAAAATTTGTTGGCATATTTGACTTACGATTTCGAGTTGAAAGAACAGTCACAACGGAACAATCGATCCATATTTTTAATTACGAGAAATAGCGGAATATTGAAAATATATTCGATCAATTTGATGCAGTCACTTTTTACAAAGAAATAGTTTTTGATTAACTTTCTTTTATCGTCTATTCTTCGATCCGATCGACGCTCGCTCGTATCATTCGAATCGAACGTAATATTTGTCGATAATGACAAGTCGACAATGGAAAGAGTTTTTCCTCTTTCCTGCTGGTTTCTGGTCGAAATGTGATCAGATTATATGGCCAGGAGCAACAAAAGGTAGGTCCAATCTGGCCCAACGAAAGGAGAATGCATTCAACGTGGTCCTCATTGACCACAAAAGTGAATTATGTTAATATATAAAATGATTTTTTAAAAGTCGGGTGGGTTTTTCTTCTCTATATTTTCTCGCGTATATGCGAGATTCGAAAAATCTGAATTGAATCTCAATCGCGCGCGAGTTAAAGCCCCAAATCGTGTCCCCCACTAAAATCGCGTCGCGGTTTTAATTAAAAAATCGCACATTTGTTAGATTTCAACACGGGTAGGTAATAGAACGGATAGATAGGACTGTAAATTGGAACACGGGCAGGCAGGGACAGGGGGATATAATTTCATAGTTTCGTTATAGGCAAAATAATTATAACTGAATGTAATAATAATAAATAAAATGTCTCATATACTTGTAAAGTGCATTGTAAGAAAAATAGACAATGTTAAAAATCGTATTGTAAAAAACGAAGAGGACCATCGTTAAATCGGCGCGGCGGTCTCTTTAGATTGACCTGTTTGTATCGAATAAAATTTCAAATTGGATTTAAATAACCTTTTAAATGATAGATCTTTGTTTGAGTATTTACAATACGATTTTTTGTTTGCACATTAATGAAAAATGTTATGTAATAGGCACAGCTACATGTTTCACGTTGTAATTTTCTGTCGTTAAACGCATATCAAATGTTCACACAGTGTACTCTCTTTCTCTTTTGTAATATGTTGCAAAGTTATGCTGTGAGAAAAATTATGTAATGGCAAAAAGGAAACGATTATTGCAGGGGAAAGAGGGCCGCCGATAGAAATTGGCGGGGGTGGTGGAGGGCCTCTTATACATTTAAGTCTTTTTACGATTTACATATATATGTTACATACATGGGCGTATACAGAGGGGGGCAGGGGGGGGCAGCTGCCCCCCCCCTAGACTCAATGAGATCCCCATTGAGATTACGAATAATATAATTAATAGATTTGCCGAGGACTCCAGAAAATTAATTTTTATATAAATAAAAAAATTTTTTTTATAAGTACGTAGTTTAATTTATGCTGCATAATTCACCTACGAGTGAATCCTGTTCTGCCCCCCCCTAGACAAAAGTCTGGATACGCCCATGGTTACATACACATAACTGCTGTTTTCTTCGCCACACCGGTTTTCTTTGTGGGACAAGGCATTTCGCAGAATTTTATGAAAGTTTTTTTTTTAAATTTGACCATACATTTCACTGATAATATTACACTGAGTATACATTTTGCTAGGAAAATGTACGGCAAAATTTCGAAAAACTCGTAAAGTTCTCCAAAATGCCATGTTGCAATAACTCATTTGTTTCATTTCAGAAAAATGCAAAGTTTAATATAACTAGAATACAAGCGTAATGATTATCCGATGTAATCCCACGATCGCATGATTTTCAGGATAAATTTTAAGGTTCTGTGCGCAGTGAGAAACTACGAACGAGTAATATTATTTGACTACAACTGGTAGAAATTTTATACCAGTCTTTCTTATGTTTTAAATTATTCAAATTTACAGAAGGGAAAAGAAACTGCCGATGGAGTTTCCGGCAGATGAAGCTTAAAAGATTTACATGTATCACCTCCGCGTACATTCCGAAACCCATCAAAAGTTGCGCCAACGCAAGTTGACGCACTTGCCGCATTGCCGGGATGGCGGTACGGTGTATCAATGTTGTGACATATTACTTGGCAATATTTACCTCGCGCTTTTAAACCGCGGTAAACGTATCGTTGAACGCGAAGATGATTAAGCTAACGCAGGACATTGATTTGGAGAATTACACGCTCGTCCTGCCGTCGGTGGCGGTCGGGAATGTCGGACAGCTGTCCGTCGACCTGCTCATTTCGAACCTTAACCTGCCGAAGATCGGTCAGATTTTCAGCACGTCATTCGTGCCCGTCGTCGGCGCGAACGCGTACAACGAGCGCTCGACCGAGCTCATCACGGCGATCGACGTTTACGCGGGCGTCAGCCAACGCGTTGTCGTCGTGCAAATCCGCTCGCCGTACGTGGGCGAGCTCGTGGAATTCTTCAACGAACTGGCGCAGTTTGTCACCGCGAGGAAAATAGCCAAGGTAAAGCCTGATCTGCCCGTTGCGTTTGGAAACGTTCGATTTTGCAGCCGGCGAATACGCGCGAAAATTAATTTGCTTAATAAAATAGAACGTTTCTAGAAGCAGAGCACGTTGTAGATCACGCTTGATGCTTTAACCCAGCGATTTTCAATCCTTTTCATCTCGTAGCGCACGTAAACTCATTACTGATATTCGGCGGCACATAAAAAAATATATTACAAGCTGAGGGAAAAGGTTTGGGTGGCTTTAGCCACCTTTTCGGTATTTGTTTATACTCTTTATACATTTACCTTAAAGTGTTAAATAGTATCTAAAAAATGGAAACAGCAATATTAAAAATTGCCCAGTATAAACAGGTACCGGAAAGGTGGCCGAAGCCACCCAGGATTACGGTATTGCTGCACGTTTAAAAAATTTTTGGCGGCACGTTGATTGAAAATCGCTGCTCCAGTCTGCTGTTTCGACGGTGTCGTAATTTTTTTCCCCTCCCACGAGACGTGCTCTCCGTTCGCAGGTGATAATTCTCGCGAGCAGTCATGACTACGCGAAGAGAGAGGTCCAGCCGCAGCATCTTAAACTGAGATATGTCGCGTCCCCCGGCATACTTTCCCAGTTTGGCGGACTCTTCGGCGACCTCAACTGGATACCGCATGAACCGAGAGTCGCGTCCGACGTGACGACGGGGGAGGAACGATTGCTGATCCCGGGCGGTGGATTCGCCAAGAGCCTCTTCAACCATCTGTCCGGCGCCGACGTACCGTGCGCCGTCTTGTTCAAATTCTGCTCCGAGGGGGATAACATAGAGGACGCGGTGGCTCTGGTGTGCTACTTGGACCAGTGGATGCGTGTATTAGGGACAGTCGAGAGCAGCAGCTTGAAGTATCCGCCGTCGTGGAAGCATCTGTTTGGAAAGCCGCCGTCGCAGGATATATATTGAATGTATACCTGGATATATTTTGTCTGTTAATCTTGAAATAATATTTTTGCTACGGTTATACAAGCGTCTAATTGTAAGTTTAATACACAGTCTAAATTATAGCTGTAAACGTGATAGCTTTGTCGTATAAAAATTATGACTGTATATTTATACTGAAAAACTGAATTCCTTGTGGTTTGGGTTTAGGATGTAGACGGTAGTTTGCGCCATCCACTTTGCGGCAGATAAATAACACCTGCTTTGAATACTTTGTTCAAACATTTATATTTTTGGTAACAAAAGGGTTTCCTACGCTAGAAGTTTGTACTTTGCCGAAAATGCCGAGTAGGACACGAGAATAGCTAGGAAAGCGGCTAGGAACTCGGAGTTCACCCATGGGCCGAGGAAAACGCCGGGATTGTTGAGCACGACCACCGCCAAGGGATTCACGCTGTCGGGATCTTCCCCGTTCCTTATTGCCTTGCGAACAGCGACGTATTTTTCCTCGTCGTACAGCTTTATGTAATAGTCGCCGGATCTTGCCTTCTTGACGTCCTCCGTCCAAGATATCTGCAAAATCATTTCGTGAACATTACGTTATCATTGACGATTCTTGCCGAAATACCACGAAGTTGAACGCTTGGCGTTCAAATATAATTTTCGAATCAATAGTTGAAAGCAAAAATAAGTAAAGTATCTCTAGATGTGCTATCATTTACATTCTAATTATCGTGCAATTTCAATGTGCCGCGAGTAATTTTAAAACGCGCAAACTTGGGCGGCTTTCGCCACTTTTCCGGCACTTGTTTACACCGTGCAACTTTATCTT